TCTCTCTCTCTCATCCCTCACACTATTAAAAAAACAACCAACACTTATTCCCGCTTTCCTCTCCACACCCAATCTTTCTGTCATCTTGAGTTTCTTAACTAAGGCCCATGAACACAACTGATCTTAAAACAGATTACTCATATAATTACATCGAAGCTGCCAATGAAGCCAATCCAAAGTGGTGTCGAAAGAAAAGTCCTTAGACCACAGTACTTCTGAATAAAAAAAGCCTCACGGATTCCATTCCTGCATGCTGAGCATCAACCGTAGAGCAAGACTGTTTTTGATGGCGGAGTCGGGGCTGGGGGTCATCGCCGTTTAGTGGCGACAGCACTCATGGTTTGCAATTCGTTTCTATGCTCGAATGCTCTACCCCCCAAAAAAACAACAACAAACAAACAAAAAAACAAAACAACAACAACAACAACAAAAACAAACAAACAACATCAACAACAAACAAACAACTACCCCCGCAAAAAACAAAATAAAAACAAAACAAAGCAAAACAAAAACCATTATCATTAATATCATCTCGATTTTTCGAAGTCACCCATTTGTTCAAGTTTTCTAAGTATTAGAACAACACGATGAAGGCCATTATTTAGATTTAAGTGTCCGAATAAACTACATTTTCTATTCCATATTGTTTATTTAGAGTAGAGCATCCGAGCAAAGGAATGAACGGGGAATCATGATCGCCGATGTCTGTCGCAGATCTGACACTTGATGCTGATGATTGTTTTGATTAGTGAGCGACCACGCTGGCATCTTTCAGTCCAACATTATTTTTTTTTCTCCTTCCTTGACTAGGGATATGGGCCCGCCCGTAATAAACTTGTGTACTTTTCAAGCAGGCGCGGTTCGCCCATAGAGCACGGTCGTGCAGTGCCGCCCAAAATTTTATAATGTTTTATTACGTAAAACACCCACAATAATAAAATAAAAGAAGTCAGAAACAAACACTAGCCAAATATTATATCAAAACAAGGTCCTCACTGGCACCATAACTGTCATTTCTGTGTCTCTAGCGCCGTAAAACATCTTCTATGCCATGCCAAAGTCCACGCACTTAAGCTAAACAGAATAGATTCAACAGTATAACCTAGCCTATAATCGCTCTTGGGGATAACCCAAGTAATGACGACACTCGTAGCGAATTTGGCGGTACATTAATATTAATAGGACGGCACATCTCAAATGTGTTCCTGCCGAACAGTGCTGAAACATAGCCCACAGTAGGCAGTCTAAAAATAAACGCCATAGACCGTACGCTATTCTTTGCCAATATTATGTGAGCCCCAGGGCAATCCAACGGAGTGCTCAAGTGAATTGTGATTGGTTCATTGTCTGTCTTGCCAATATTTTAAGTGACTCTGTGACCGTGAACCCGAGGGAGGTGAACGTGACCATCCTATGGGTTGTGCCTTTGAATGGTATTGCAGTGGAGTAGTGAAAGCTATTTCTCGAGTGTTCAGTTACAATACAGGATGAACGAAATTGATGTTTAGCTAACAATCAAATTTAGTACTTGAAATCAAAACGACAAGTAAAAAGAATGAAAATAAAAGCACGCGGACCTCCCTCACCAACCCAAAGATCCTAAAATTATTATTATGAATACGGTAATGACATGGTGTACATATGTTAAGTAATATATTCGTTTTTTTCTCTTGGAACATTGTACCCCTCAAACCTGCTTGGCCGTTTATACTCAGTGGAAAACAGTTAAAACTGTACCTCTACTACAAAAAGCCAATGTCTCACTTAACGCCCTTTGTTCCTAGATGTTTTGAAAAGTTGATTATAATCTAATAGTGTCATGTTTTAAAAAAGTAGACCATCAGCTTGGCCCCCTTCATTTTGCCCACAAGGCAAGAAGGCGCTGTTCTCGTGTTTGTGTAAAACACTCATAAAAGACATAAAAAAGACATACACGTGCGTGTCCTGTATATTATTGATTTTTCTTGGGCTTTTATGTCAACACTATCCAGCCAGTTTCTGACCGCAAAATTATTGTTCTTCATTGTTAATAGCAACCTCATTGCTTGGACCTTGGACTTTTTAACACAAAGAAAACAGTACGTCAAGCCGAACAACAAGCCACTGTTTGTGAATTAACTCTTAATATACACCAGGCCATTCCAAATTTGTACGCAGCCAAGTCTTTCATCCAATTCTTCAGTTGGGTTCGCACATGCAATGCTTCAATTTTTGTTTAACCACTATAGGTTCGCAAGCGTAATGTTTAAATTTGCTCCAAAGTGAATAGGTTCGCAACTGTGATGTTTTGAAAAATAAGGTTTGCAAGTGTAATGCTCCCCAGTAAATAAGGTAAAGAAGCGGGCAGCGCCTACGCCAGCAAACCTGGCATGCTACTTTTGTTGTCACAACTTTCCTAGACTTCTCTTTTTGAACGAAGTAATTCTTCTAAAATAGCTTTTGATTTTTAATTGTTTTTAAGCACTCACCTTTATCTAAAAAATGTAAACAGATTTTTATCTTGCCAATGAACCTAGCCTTCGAAATAGCCTTAAAGCAAATGAATGGAAATATTCCTGATGTCTTGCTTGACAAACACAAAATATCAATGCACATGTAGAATGGTAAATGATTTAAACATTTCTGCATAGCCCGTCTTCGTTTCTCACAGATTACCAGCACTGTTTGATTCCTATTAAGTCATGACGCACCTTTCTACCAAAGTGTTGTATTGAAATTCTTTGAAAATGATTAATGGATACATACACATTCATACAGACTCACGTACACACACACACACACACACA